GCCTTTGGAACTTTATTAATAGATCCAGAGATATTTCGATCGACGATAATGCGACGAGTGTTCGGTGAAAGTAACGGATGGATATTAACGAGACAGAAGCCGACAAGAATGGGATACGACTGCGCAATGATAATCCGCCCCGATAAAAGGATGATTAATTTCAGCTGAAAATCGCGTCGTCCGCGCGGCCCGATAACAGGAGACCCAATCTCTGTACGCCGAGGTGAATTATCAACGTTCGATGGAGAAACCGCGTGCACACGCAGCACGCCTCGCAACGAATTTCCTTAACATGTTCTTACAACGTCATTCCGAAGCAAAAAAGGGTCCTAAATGCACGATATTCTTCCCTTTCATTATCCAGATAAAGGTTGCTTCATTGTAGCCAGAAGAAACATAATTGGATACTTAGGGTCATTACCGAGACCTTGAATCATGGTTAAATACTATACTAGAGTTTGTCGGTCGAGACGGAAACGAGGAAGACACGAAAGTGGCATCGAGACGAAATCAAGGTTAGGAATGCTTGATTCGATACCGAATACGATAAAAAGAAATTGTATTGCGAGTGATGAAATTACCCGAGATATCTCGTGAATCACCCACGTAACGATGATGAAACCCGTTTCTACATTGAAATCGAAGTTGATCGACTAATATCTGTTTATGAAATGGTTCTGGATACACCGTTATATCGATAACGTGCAAGAAAGGAAGGAGGTAAATAGTAAAAAAAGAAGATATGTTGGAAGATAGATGAAGTTCGCTGATTTTTCAATCAGCTTGTCCCACCCAGAAATTCATTTTTCGTGTTTTAACGAGACGTATTGTAAACAAAGAAAGTTTACTCGGGACAAGGAAGAAAGGAATCTCGACTGGCTCGATTGTGGATATCGTGAAAAAATTAATTTTAACCACGGATAAAGAAAGGATAAGAGGCAGTTGGTGACGTTAGGTTGACGCGCGTTCGCGTGTGCAACAGATACACGTATCGTTTATCGGTTCTGCAAATAGCGCATCAATGCATTATTTTTACAGCCCGACTGCTATATTGAGAGTCAAGCAATGCTGCATCACAGTTCCTTGCGACGCGGTCTCTACCTGTATTATTTGTCGAATCGAAGAATGAGCGTCAGAATCATTTCGAGACAATTTAAAAAACGTTCAGAGAAATCATACGAAGTTTCTGATTTCTTGCTAAAAGCCTTAGGAGAATCAAATAAAATAGGAACAGACCTAAAGATCGTTTTTCTAATCAGTAATTACATTAGATAACTCCGATGTAAGTGTTTGAGAAGCGTATATTTTCGTTGAATAGAAAAGATTTTATCGAAAGGAACCGAACACTTCAAATACAGATCCAGTTAAGCTCTTTATCTACCTGGAGTTGAGTACTCCATTACTGAAATGACACCTTAAGTGACCCGACTTTCTTGAACATTTTCAAAGAAGCTTAATCTGTTCACTGCAACCATTGTCAATGTAGTTATTTTGATTCCTTTATTTCCAGTCTAACTTGTTAAAATTCAAAGATCACACGCACAACTAGACTTGGAAATGTTTATAATAGAGATAGTTTAACCTAAGCAGAAAAAACTTTGAAAAGGAGGCGGTGAGTAAAAAATGTATGGGAACCTATGATCTAGAATAAAACGATTGCATCGAGACCTTACGATCCAAATGAATTGTAGTCGTTCAAAATTAAATCGATAACTGTTCGAGTATACAGTATCTCGTACATAAGTTACTCGTCGTGATCGTTGAAAAAAGAAACTAAGAAGATTCTCAGCTATCCGCTCGAACGGATAAAGCGTCCTGCGTAGGTGTATCGGGGTGGCGACGAGAAAAGGAAAGGAGAATTCACACCCCGTTGCTGGCAAAGGTTGTCAGCGAGCGTTCACGAAGGCCGGAATAAACGCATCGCGCGCAGAAGTTCGTGACAATGACGTTTTACACGTACACCGTCGCGGAACGCCCCTGCATTGACGTAAATCCAAGGTTAATACGGGACGTCTCGAATCGAACGCCTACAGGTAAACCGACGTAGGCAGAACCTACGACTCAGCCGATGCCTCCTCCGCCCATCCACCTGTTTTCGCTTCCCTTTCGCAACGATAGAAAGACTCGTTTACAACCGACAACGAAACGTAGAAATTGACTACTTTCTAACGAACTGCATTCCCCTTAATTGTGGAATAATAATTATTACTTTTATCGTGTCTCTGAGACCTCTCTATTGGGAAACATGAAAAATCAATCGACCTGCTCTGAACGTGTACTGTCTTTGAGGGTATTCTCTGTTGCGAGTTACTGGTCGATTTTTTTTTGTGTGTGTGTTTTTTTTAATAAGAAGAAAAGGTATGATGGAGCACAAAGTGCACTTCCGTTACGCTTTATTAAACGCGTAAAGGAGACCACAGTACTTCGATCAAGTTTACAGCACCTACCCACTTTTTATGAGATATTACACTACACTGTTGGATCATCACTCGAGATCGTTGAAACATTCTTTAGTAGAAAAAAAGTCTTCGAAAGTAAAAAAATCATCCAGAAGCATGCTGACTTGGTGTTTAATCAAAAGGTAAATAGTAACCCGTTTTTCCGCCCTTAAAGAATTTTTCGTAAGTAAAATGTAAATAATTTTTAGCCAACTCGTTTGCTAATGATCGTCTGTTCGTTCACGTGAATTTTAATGTTCTACAATCTCAGATCGAAATTAATGTTCATAACATATTTATCCTGTTAGTCTTACATCGATGATACTCCAGAAGCGAAGATTGAGAGAATAATGTTTTCTCTTTTACTGAAATTCTGTTATGCCTGGTAATTTCTTTGCTTTTTTTCCTTGAACGATCAAGGAGTACGGGTCAAATATCAAGGGTTAAGAGAAGGTGTCGCGTGAGTACTAATTATAAATTGTTCAATACAAGTACAGAGTGATTAACTCAAATAACTCTCGCCCTTAAGATATCTGTTGCTTTTTGCTTTTTATGTACTACAAAAGGACGATGTAAAATTACTTGTGTTCTAAATATCGTTCGAAATAACCACCCAATAATTTTCTACATTTTTATCTGTAAATTATATATGTTCCTAAGTACTAAAAATTCCAATAAAAGCACCGTGATCTAGGTCCCCGTAGCATAAATCGTGATTCTTAAAACCGGTATTTTTTTGGTATTATTTCTGACACAGATAATGATCCTTCGTTCAAGGTTCGCTTGGATTCGCAAATATCTGCAACTAAAGTCACACGAGTACGCCATTATTATATCAGGGTTACGTTACTATAATAATATTTCGGTCACGAAGATAAGAAAGACTTATACTTTCGAATTATTAAACCATGTAACTACGATAATCTTGATCAGTATAAGAACAGATTCATTGAATGCTTATGCTGTACAGCCACTTGTACTTTGTACTAAATACAAAATTTAAGTGAACTATCCTCGAAATATTTCGTAGAAAGTGGAATCGAATTAAGCGAGAAAGAATAATAAATTGCTCGGAATTTCGAGAAGAAACAACATTCTGCATGACTAAGAAAACCTCTTTGTTATTCCCAACGGACGATGGAAAATTTTAATGTAATCGCACTTGCGTTTACTGCGTCGGCATATACTTGCAACGGATTGAAATTAAAATGTCGTTCTGAAGAATACCCTGAAAATATTAACATTCTTCGTTCGAATACATTTCCGCTTTTTATCAAAAGAAAAATGCAAAGTAAAAGTAAGGATAAGATATGTGAAACTCATTGATAAACCGACAGTCTCAGAAAGCAGTAAACTCGTGTAATTTCGGAATGATGGAAAAATATTCCTGTGGTAAATTCCAATGATATTCCTGTGCTATAATGTCGGCTAATATAAATTTTTTCGTTATATTAGAAGTATTTTCTGAGGCTGTGCAAATAATGTCACGTGGAATAATCAGCAACCGTTATCAGCACGCGATATTACGTCCCAGAGGTTTGCAAATGAAGCTTAGATAGGTGTAAAGAGCGTGGTATTTCCTTACGCCCGCACTTCGATTCCAAACCTGTGTAGTAGAGTCTTGACCCGGCAAGTTGCAGAGTGCCGCTTACTCAGTATACACGACGGTTTAGGTGTTCTCAATCGCGTGACCCCTGACAGTTTGGTTTCTGAATCGCGTTCAATGTGATCCGACCTTCGAGGAAATCTCCCTTATACGATTAATCTTTCGAAGATCATAATTACAAAATACCTTCTGATCGTTACCGAATTAATTTGTCCAAAGTAGTTCAATTTATTAATTTATATAATAATTAAAATATATCAATGTAATCGTAACAGACGAAGAGCTGTTTATTGGTAATTATGATGGTCATTATTGAGTATACGCTTGGAACACTCCACAATTTTCGAAATACAACTGTATATCCATAGGGAATGCTTGAGATGTAACTACAATATCAGCGACAGTATAAAATAATGTCCCTTTAATATATAATATTTTCAATAAAATAGGTACATGCATATGTAAGAGATATACATTCATCAAGGCCAAGGGTGCTTCAGATTTTTGAAAACATTAATCTCATTAATGGAGTAATGTAGTATTCGCGTAGAAAAAAGAACATCTATGAAAATTCGTGAAGCCAAAATTTCGGGAGATATCAATCTGAAACTGTACAGTCTTATCTGTACACATAAACCCCAAATCATTAAAACTTTATCATACTAAAGTGGGCAATACTTTAGGTCGAGATTCTAGTTACGAAAATTGATTTTTAAAACATAATAGTTAGTTCAATTATGCTCTCAAATGACCGCATAAAAAAATTCAAGGGATGAATATGCATACAATATGCAGAACAAAGTAAGGACGATAAGGAAAGCTTTAGCGAGAAGGTTGACGACCGGCGTGCGGCAGCACCTACGCCAGGAGCCGCGCGAACCCACGAACCCACGAACGAGCGAACGAAACGAAACGAAACGAAAGCCAGAGCCAACAAGTAGAGTGAAATGACTCACCACGTGAACGCTGGAGAGGCCGACCGGGTCGCTTTGCTTCTTATCCGTCTTCTTCGCCTGTCGTTTCGCTTTGCTCTCGAGGAAACGTTGCTTCAGCACCAACGTGTCCTGTATGTTCTGCTCGCACAGCCCGTTGAAGCTCTGATCGAATCGCGGTATACAATCGGTCTGTCTGCGACGATAACTCTCGATCCTACGTCTGAGACGATCGACGACCGCCTGCCTCTTGGGGGTGAGTACCTCACCCATACCAGGTGCTTGACCCATTTGTTGCTGCAGCTGCAGCTGTTGACCGGTTACGTTCAACTGGCCGGTAGCGTTCAGATCGTGAATCCCGGCCGATTGACCGATAACGTTGCTATTGTTGTTGCCGGTGTTTTGCGGAGCCTGGCCCACGCAGACCGAGATCGGGCCAGGCTGGTTGCCGGGGGGGCCTTGCGGGGGCTGGCGGGGCAGGAGCCCCCCGGCCTCCATACAGCCCCCTAAATCCACCGCAGGGTAAGCCAGCTCAGTGAGAACCTCTGCTACCGAAGCGCCTGACGCGCGCTACTGCTACTGCTGCGACCTCGTCTCCCGCCGCTGCCCTCGAGCCGAGCATCCTCTGCTGCCACCCTGCCAATGCGACGATCCTCAACTTCCGGTCAAGACGCATTTGGAATATGTCGTTTGTCGTACACGTCTCTCTCTCTCTCTCTCTCTCTCTCTCTCTCTCTCTCTCTCTCTCTCTCTCTCTCTCTCTCTCTCTCTCTCTCTCTCTCTCTCTCTCTCTCTCTCTCTGTCCCTCTTTCTCTCTCACTATATTTCTCTTGCTCTTCTATTACGCACGGTCACTTGGCTGTCGCCAAACACGATTCACTTTACTAACGGTCTAACGGCGTCGTCGATCAGTTTACGGAGCCGGTTCGGGCACAGTATATATTCGTTCACATATACAATTACGGCACGATCGCGCGTGCGATATTCAAGGTAAACCGAGTCGAGAAAAATAATACACGTTGTTCCCTTTGAATTTACTTAGTTCCAGAATACGATATCAATCCCGAGAGAACCGAACGCCACGCGCGATCGACTGTAAACAAAGTTCGTCACCCTTTGCACACACTTCGTTCACGCACCAATGTCGTGTATAGACGCTGTTTCGTCTGTCCGGTTGTTGACATCCCGACGTATCGCCGATAGATACTGTTCACCGCGTTTTATTACCGATGCCACGTGACTGAACGGTATACCGTGAAGTCCGTGTCGTTCCAACGCGACCAGTCACCGCCAGTTCAGCCTCCACGCGAACTCGCTTCGCACGAGATTACCACGATATTCCGCCGTCCCGGTAACGTACACGCGATACGCTAACGAAGCCCACGGCTTATGCGTGCCATTCCCCCGTTGACAATCGAACGATGCCCGCGGCACAAGCAATACCATTTGTCTTCCGGGTAAAGAGATTTTCGAACTGTCACTCTCGACGAGACGCGCGCGAAGATTCGACGGTAGGACGGAACGTTCACCGCGCGCGACTAAGTTCAGGGCCTGGAAACTCCGTGTATACAAGAGGCGGTCAATTTGCCGCGCCATCTGATGGTGATCGCTACTACCAAACGGTAATGGCGGCATGTACGAAATCGACAGTACACTCTAATATCTGAAATGCAATTATGAAGTATTATACAATTATTAAACTGAATGTACATTTACGCTTCTTGTTCAATATTACTTTATATCACTACATTAATGCATCTGACACACTGTTTTTGCCCTGACGTTTTATTTACTGTGTTTATGATTCTCATGATAAAAATTGAATGTAACGGTTATGGTTAGAATTCAAAAACGACATATTGAAACGTTAACCTCATATGCACCGATGCAACATTAACAATTGAGACCGATAAGTATATAAAGTTATTAAAGACGATAATTAATATTTAATTAGTACATGATAATTAATCAAATAGCGGCTATTATTCTACAATTAGTAATTAATTGACTTTACGCTTCAAATGAACCTTGTGGACCCGAAATATCAAACTTCATCGGCCTAGATCGAAGTTTACAGAGCAAACAGAATTTAAAACTACATATTTGTATACCTTACCAATGTTAATTTCACGAACAGACTAACCATGATATTCTTACAAAATAACATTCTGATTTATCAGAGTTATGATCGATGCGAATCCCCTCACAAAATCGGACCTCACAAAAAGTCAATATTGCACTGACGCGGGTTCTGAAGTATGTTTCGAATGCCCTCTTTGGTCGCTTAAGACTAACTAAAACTTCTGAATAAGAACGTCTCTCTTTCTCCTTCTCGCTCGCCATTACCGCCCGTGGTTGTAGGAGAGAGACGGTAAGCAGGAACGATAGTGGGAGCGAGCGACAAGCCTTTCGCGGCTTAATATTGGGTCTGGCTCATGGATCGGGCACACGCTTTGCCAACGGAAGACTTTCTTGTGCATGAAGACGGCGTACGACCGTGGAGGAAAGGTATACAACGGCCGCGTATAACCGATAAACAGCAACGCACGGGGCGCGCGCTGAATCTCTCTTGATTGTCCCGGTGCGTCGTCGAATGCGCGTTGAACGTCACAACAGGTAGTTGAGCGAGGGCAGCGTGCTCCCGCTACGCCCGTGGAAAGAAAGGAAAAGACCGAGAGTGGAAGCAAGAGGTCAATAGACGGCACGAGTATGCTGAAGAAAGAGAGAGGGAACCACCATCCGCGGTAGGGGAAAACGAAGGGTGAAGCAGAAGGAAGACGGTCGAGCGGAATACACTAGAAGGGGAGAAAGATGGGATAGTAACAGGGAGGGGTTCCGTGTTTGGCCGGATACCTCCACACCGTGCCTTTACACAACTGCTCGTATATACCACGAAGTTACGAATCTAACATGCACGAGACGGGTTACTCATGGTGTTGAGTTGTTTTCGAAATTGATACTTAAAACATTTTAGAATTAATATAAACGGTACATAAATGAAGCATAATTTATGTTTACACTGGAAAGTTTGTTGCTATTATATTTTATTCGCGCTACGCTTTTTATTCTGTATGTACTTTAGGGAAATTGAAATAAAATATCCTTATGATAATTTCTTATTGGGGTTTAATACTATTGAAATAAGTAAATATTTGCATATAGTAATGAAATACGTTAAGTAATATTTTAATCTTGAATTTTTTGCAACCTCCCACTGATATTTAAGAATCTACATGTGTAGTTGTGAGAATTATTGAAACACTAAGTGAATAAATTAAATAATGGAAAGATGTATATGGCACTTTGTGGATTAATAAAATACAAGAATATTAGATTAATAACAATATATTAACAAAAAAATATATGCAAGGAATATCCATTGCATAATTGCTAAATTATAACTGCACGGAGTGAGATGGGTTCTTAGTGCATTCTAGCAGGAGTCTGGCAAACTATGAACAGCGTTAGCTACCGGTGTGAAAAAGGGTAAATTTTGCCATCTTCAGGACATTTCTTGCAACTCAAAGAGGCAATGTAGTCGATAAATGATTTCTTATTTTATACGCTCATTATGCTAAATCAAAATAATCTGTTTCCATTGCTGTAATACCTCGAAAATTGAAATTCATATATTGTTCATATAATTTATTGTAATATATTAAAATATATTAATCTATTATGTGGTTTTTGTAAACATAACCTATAATCCTAAATGATGATTGTACTGACACGTGAAAGAAGCTTTAATGTCAAAATTTATTACTTTTTAAAGAAAATGTGTATAATATAAATAGTATCGACTTTCTGCTGCTGTTTTATGTAAATATAAATTTAGTATATATTACAGGTAAATCAAACACAATTTTCTTCAAAGTATTTTATAAAAAATGTTCTAAAACTAAATGTTTAACACACTATACTTCTTTTGTTTGAAGTTAAGTATTTAAGATGGATCTTAGTACGGCGAAGGGTACCAGATTTCCTTTCATACCAGGGACAAAACCTTCAATCAAGAATTCACAGTTGCTCATCTCAAGCGGAATACCTTCTTTGGATCACATACTAGGAGGTGGACTGCCTATTGGCTCTTTGCTCGTTATTGGTACCTATAAATCATATTAGACTTTTTATACATAATGTTAATTGATATAACACTGTACTACATAAAAAACCATTTTGTTTTTCAGAGGAAGATCGATTTGGTACCTATGCTAAAGTTATGTTAAAGTACTTCATGGCTGAAGGCGTGGTCACCAATCAACCAGTACTAATAGCATCAAAGGATATGAAAACATCTCACTTTGTATCAGAGATGCCAGCTGTTATAACAGAAACCAAATCAGTCAATCATATGCATCATTCCGATGAACAGATGAAGATTGCTTGGAGGTATCAAAACATGAAAGTAGTTGATTCATCTCCGACCGGAGGACAAGCTTTTGGTCACTTCTATGATCTTACAAAGACAATGGAAAGAGAGACAATTGAAGAAGCAGATATAACACAGTGGTACGATGAAAGTTATCCCACAAAAGATAATACGTTTGAAAAGTCTGCCTATTCGAAACTACTGCAGTGTGTACAAGAAACTTTGAAGAAAGGACAATACTCGATTTCGGAGACACCTGCAAAGAGACAGGTTCTACGAATTGCAATTCATTCTTTAGGATCAAGGTTGTGGTTCAGTGATTCTGAAGAAAGCTCACAACAAGATTTAGTGAAGTTTTTATATTTCTTTAGGGCACTTTTAAGGTACTCTTACGCTGTTGCAGTAATAACAGTACCCGCAGAATGCATGTATAATTCAGTAAGTTTGACATTGATAGTCTATTAAGAAACTAATACAATATGTGTACGATATTAACCACAGAATCGTATATTACGATGAATTTTTAGAATGCCGTAGTTCAACGAGTTGAACACTTATCAGATGTCGCGATTAAATTAGAATCGTTTATGGGCTCTCGGAAAGAAACTAATCCTTTATTCAAGGATTATCATGGTTTGTTACACCTGAAAAAGTTACTCGCATTGAACACAATAGCCAGTCATACTCCAGAATCGCTAGATCTCGTATTTAAATTGCGACGCAAAAAATTCGTCATTGAGGTAATTGAACCGGTGTAAACATTTTACAGTGAACAAAATGAATTGTGTTCTTAATCTATGTTTTAGGTCCTGCATTTACCGCCTGAGCTAGGTGAAACCGTACAAAGAGAACAAGATGAAGCTGCACCTACCACTGGGTGCGGTGGTCAGTCGCATAAAAGCTTGCTAGATTTTTAAAAAAATGTACTGTTATATGTTTAATAAGATTACCTCTTGTATACAAAAATATTTAATAACAAACCTTATATAAATATTACAAATTTTCTAAGATACATGCATTTAATATTCGTCCACCTTCCACTATTCCCTTTTTCAAAACAGTAGTAGCTACTATATATGTTAGGTTTATACTAGCATCGTTTGCGCTATTTTAACTAGAAGTGCATACTACGGCGCGTGAATTAATGCAAGCGGGAGGAGATAAGCTTTGTGAACACCCACAATAATACACGTAACACATTTACTTTTACCTGTTCTGTAATTTTTATCATAGATATGATTCTGCCAATGCATAGACACACGTGCTAAACACGAAACTGATTCCATTTCTAATAATTAATACAGTACCATTTATATGTACAAATTATAAAGACTTACTAAATTATCTACATTAGTAAACTAATTTATAACAATTAGTCTTCCTCACCTAGTTGTTTCAATTTCTCACGCGTTTCTTGTCCAGAATAATTTTATTCATTTATATTTGCAAAACTAGTTATCTATCCTATAATCTCATTACTATTAACTATTCTCACTTATCATTAACTTCCATATCCAGGCATCAGTATCCCAAATGAATTGTTTTCGTTTCCAAACGGGAATGGGGTGAAAAGTTCGTTTGCTCACGAGGATCAGTTTTAAATTCAGGGCTCCCCCATGGTGACGTTTGACAAACACGACGCGTATCGGTAACAATCGCATAAGTACGCGCATATGGACATTTCAGCCCCTCCATTTTTTTGTTCGGCGCCTTTCTATTTCCTTCCGGTTCCATCCGGTCGGTCGCGCATGAGGGCTCGCAACGCAAGCGCACCTACAGATGCCAGTATATTCGTACCACGCCGTGGAACCATCTATCACGCGCGAGGTTTTTAGTTCTCCGTTTAACACGAGCAAGTGCACTTCGTAATTTGTTGGCACCGACTCTCGAAACGAAGTCAAGCCATTCGTCGGAGAGAAAACACTCGGGTTAACTTCAACTTCGCCGCGTTAACGTACATCCGCGACGATTAATGGAGTGTCACCGCGAGGGATTAACGTGACTGATTGTCACAGGTGTTCTTTAACGAAGAGGAACGTTAAAAGATCGATGAAATTAAAAACAATACAGTGTAAAATGGAACCGAAAAATTTTGGGCTGTCGCGAGTCTTCGTGTGTTGCGCGAATGTCATCTTCTTGGTGAGTTTACATTGACAACAAATTTAAGGGAACTAAATGTTCTGTGTTTTGCTGTTTCTTTTCGGAAGAGAACAATTTGTTTAAGATAATATAGGGTTCGAATTAATGATAAAGTTTATTCTTTTGATTTCCAGATATCGGGTTTCGCACTGATGTCGTTGGGGGCATTGTTATTAGCCGATGATGAACGGATTCTGCTGTCGCGTTTGTTGGGACCAGGCGACATTCACCCCGAACAACCACTCTTCTATTATCTGGCCTTCGCAGTCGTTGGACTAGGATTTTTAATCACGCTCACGGGGATGCTCGGGTGCTGGGCGACTTGTCTCTACAATCGATGCGTGACTATCTCTGTGAGACACCTCTTTATTCTATAACTACGACACAAAAGTTTCATCTGCGTCACAGAATCAGAAGAACTGCTAAAGATCAAATGCATGAATAACGAAATATGATTAAGTAGAACTATTATCTAGAACACGTCCCCGTATTTCATACAAACAATTTCTAAATAATGTATTTAGCTCAGAATTTCAAACCTACTCTTTGAAAGCGTTTACAACAATACCGATTCTACAAAATTCTACCAGAATTGGGAGCAAATTATAGCAACGCGTTAATATGTACATAAAATTGTTTTAAAAGTCTGCAGCACAAAGTAATCCCTAAAATGTAAATATTTCTTTCGGGTTAAATTACGAGATCAGACGACGAGGGGTCAAACGTGGACAAAGAAATGCTTAAAAAGTGGCTCTATTGTAACATAAATTCGCCAGCGAGGCATTTGCAACATAATAGATAACGTCGAATAACAAACGTTTTGTGATTGTACGGTGTCAGACGTTCGCGCAGCAAACCCCCGCGTTTCAATCGCTGGAAGTCAAGGTCCCCGGGATCCTCGCGGTTCTTCGACGGACCCTGACGATGGGTTTGCTCGGCAGACCCAACTAAAACCAGATCTCTCGCTTCGCCCGTTGTATACGGTCACGCGTCGCTGCCCGGAAACGGATCTACATAAATCCAGGCACGCGTGCTCACGGAAAGAGGGCGAGGATGCCCCGTGGTATCATTTAAAAACAGCAATTATTCCGAAGTCCGCTTGTTAGAGGAACAAACGGGTGCACCGTTCGTGAATACCTTCTTAGCACGCGTTCGCTATTCGCGGGGCAGGATCTAAAATTCAAATGGACAGACTAAAATGACCAATTACCTGTGAATTCGTAAATACGACCGTGTTTGTTAGTAACAGTCTGATTGTAAAGATGTAATATTATAAGTTACTACATAACATTCGAGAGGTAGCGAGCATTGGTGTTTTATTTCTGGGAAGTAATACACCAGTGAATATTACTTTCGAACACAGTCGTCTATGATTACAGATCTCCAATTACGGGGTTTCCCTTTCCATCGATAGAGTAAGGTATAATTTCAGATTTTCGATTCTATGTTTTCAGTATCTGATCACGATAGTCCTGCTACTGATCGGTGAATGCACCGTTTGCGTTCTTGCCGTCTTTTGGCCGCACGTTCTCGGTATCGATGTAAGGCCAGCGCGATTGGTACGAGCCCTGCAACGCAGCTACGCCGTTCCCGGCCGAGAACAATTCACGGCAGCCCTTGATCTTGCACAGACCACGGTACGTTCGTATTACCTTGATGTCGTATTAAGTAACGCGAGGATCGTTTCGTTACTCGGAACACAGACATAAGCAAGCTTCTAAAAACCTTCATGGATCAGTAATCTGTTACTTTAGAGGGTAGCACATGTTGCTAATACAGTATAAGGTTACTAACAAGCTATAAGTGTCTTTTTTTATTAATACAGTAATATCTCCATGAGTGCGACGTGCTTAGGTCCACTTCGAAGCATTCATAGCAAGGTGGAAAGGTTTTTAGCTTTTCATAAATTTGTTTTACGCCCGAAGCCGAGACTCTTCTTAGCTTCTGTTTACTGTGTTTTGATTGGTTCCGCAAGGGGTCTCCCCCAAGAGTGGGAATAACGCTGTTGCTTGTGTCGCATTCATCGAGAAATCATTGTATGCAGTTATCAATCCCTGAGATTTATGTTTAGTTTAATTGAAAAAGCGTTCAGCCGTATCAGAACCACCCTATTAACTAACTGTCCACTGGAGATACCCAAAAACTTCGAATCCAGTAGCGTCAAATCTTTCTGCCGTGGACACCAATAGCTTTCCATCTCACAAATTCACGTTCATAAATATTCGGGTCCGTTCAGAATCGCGAATTAATTGTAACAATTCGAGTAACAAAAAGAGTGAACAGGTGGTTTCGTAACGCAACGAAAGAGGATGCAACAGGCGACGCGGTCGATCGAGAACAGGAGTGTCCGTTCGTATTTTTCCCGAAACGCGGTCGGCCGTTCGCGATTAATGTATCGTAGCAAACAATTACATACGTGCGCGCACACCCCGTCCAGCATCGAAATACCGCAAATTGCGACGGACCTTTTCAGTTTGCTTGTTGCGGCATAAACGGAAGCAGCAATTACGGCACCTCCTGGTGGCGGCTGCAGGAAGTCGGACGAAGAGAATTAGTTGTCCCTCTCAGTTGCTGCACCCTGGCCAACGCGAACGAAACCGACTCTTTCCTCAACCCCGAGCCTGCCAATCTTACTCTCTGCCAAGCTTTGAACCCCGCCGAACATCAACACGCCCGGCACATCACGGTAACGTATCGTAATAAGGAAATGATTAAACTAGAATTATTGGTGGGCATACACATTCCGACCAGTGTCCATCTGACACTGCAAACATTGATTGTCATTGTCACGAACTGTCACACTGATCTATTACACGATGGAGGTTATGCATGAAATGGGACATTTGATGCTGATTACTATGAACGCGTAATAATCGCAGCGACACGTTCTTTTAGGTGAACCTGTCGATTCTAATTGTCTTGTTAAAGAAAGTTTGAAAAAATACCGGTATTTATTTCGGTTTTCGGTAATATATCGGTATCGGTATACCTTTACTGGCATAATACCGGTATCACAATCATACCGGTTTTAGTCCCTGGGTATAATACCGGTATTAAGACTCAATGCATGCTTCTTTGCGTAGCTAGTCCCATGGTGTCAGCCATTACCAGAATTTCATAAAGAAGATCTAATTAGGATCTCTACGAACCGATTACGATAACGGGTACGAATTACGCATTTATGAAGGCATCGACATTAAAATGACCCCACGCGAGTAATTAAAGGTTAATATCTGCACAGAATTCCTGTACAGTGCTAATAATAGTCGTTGTACCTTCCTCTTAAACTTACATTGCCATTTCGACGGTGTTAGAATGGACGTGGAACGTACCTACACGTTTAACGACGACCCGCATGCAAATGTCGCGTTGCCTAAAGAGAAATCCAGTAGGATGCGGGTTGCGCAAATGCGCGTCGACTGTATCGTTTCAATTTTCAATCGGTGTGTCGCATCTGGAAAACAAGAACGTCACGCGTATGGCGTCGCGGAGTTTGTTGAAAAACCGTTGTATAAAGTTAGCCTCGTATTCCAAGGAGAAAGTTTTCTCGTCGCGTGTGCCCGATATGTATTACATTTCGCGCAGAAATTGAATATAGATTGAAATGTCATCGGCGTGTCGACGGTGTCCGCGAGTATGACGAGGGGTGTCACGCAGTATTGCACACATCGCGACGCTTTCCCGCGTTATTTAGAATTTAGAACGATCCGTTTTAATCTACTATTGGAAACATTTCGAAAAGGAAGGCTGGAGGATTAAAATAAAACATATCTAACCGCGCTCTCATAAATTTAGCAACGAATAAAATCAATACCCCTAAAGTAGGTCCCGAGATTTATATAGCGTATGCAGATGCCATTTTCTACGATGAAATTAGTGGGACTTAAAAAATGTCTATTTCGGAGTCAGATATGGATGAAGAAACCCAAGAATAATGACTCGAGTCTTCAATGTCTCCTCAAGATGACCTAAAATTAAAACTTCTTGGGCCCAATTCGAAGTTTCTTCAACTTCTCTGGAATCCTTTAGACTATATTGGGATTCTCTGATTCCTCAATCAATCGTCAAATTACCCCCGGATTTTGCAGATCTCTTTAGAACTAACTAGACTCATTTTGCTCCGTAAGATCTAAATTTTGCACCCCTAACGAAGAGGTGATTTACCTTCGAACTCTGGAAACCGATTTGGACTCCCAAACCTGGCGATCTTAGACTCTATAGATCTCTAGAATCTACGAGGACCCTTGGTACTGTCAGTACTTTCGAGACCACTGCTACCTCCAGAATATTTAGCAATCTCACCACGTCTATTTCGCAGGGCTGTTTGGAGATGCTCGAGAAATGGACGCAAGACCAAGCGCTGATACTCCTGACCGTCGGGCTGGCTGTGATTTTCGTGGAAGTGGGCGCGCTGTTGAGCACATTCTTCGCTTGTTCGCGAGGTAATAACAGGACGAAGTCTCAAGCGTCGACGTTTACATCCACGCAAACTCTGAGTCCCTTCAGCGAGAGCGATCACGATTTCGGTGAGTACGTTTTGCTCGATTTTTCCACTCGTCATTACTATACACAACAATCTATCCTCTACACCTATGTCGCTGAATTATTCATAGGCATGGGGATCGAGAATCGAATGCACGCGTCCGGAACGACGTTCGGCGCTAAATCTTGAAGGTGGCTAGAGGGCAGTGAGGGTAAAACGCCAATCGACGTCAAGAATACAGACACGAGAACCGTAATCAATTTACCTAGGCTTAACGATATATCGAGATTCAACCGGAGCGTCATCGAGGAATGGAAGAATCCATCCAAATTCAGCGACGGCGTGTTAAGGAACGATCAACTGTACGAAGAACGCGCGATCGACGTGCCGAATTATCATTTGGAACAAACTTATCCGAGAAAAGGCAAGGATTCCACGAAACCTGGCGACGATAGGAAAAGTATCATGAGAACGAAGCATCAAAACAGCGGCACCGTCAGGAGTATTCCGATCAAGCATTATCAGGCATCGATTGCGCACAATATCGGTACGCTGAGAAGGTCCGAGGCGCCACAGTTGCAATTCGAATCATCGATCTCTGAACCCGAGAAGAATCAGTGCGTATCAAAGTACAAAACTGTCCCCGCGAACGATGTATCGTTTACTCGAAACGGAACTAACAACTCGTCCCAAATTCCACGATCGAGTCATTTCTCCAAACACACGGACACCGCTAACCCAGCTCGTAGATCGTGTCACTCTTGCGACTATCAACACGAGATTCAAGGTCGGGACGATAAAGTTAATTCCAAGCTGAGGACCCTCGATCGACGAATAGTTAAAAGTGAGCACAATATTTTGAATCGAGACGATCAAGATTTCAGCGATTTCGATGATTACTTTCACAAGTCGAGTTCACGAGGGCAACGCTCGGAATTTCGAAGATCGAACGATACGAGAGCAAAGAACAAAACCAGTAGCGAAACGGTGGAGAATGGTGAGGTGATGCATACGAAAGAGGACGAGAAGCGTCTGACTAGAAAATGGGGAACGATCGATCTCGAACGTGGACACGTTGTCCAGAAGATATCCGCGTACGAAGAGAACGCGAGACGCAGCGGTCGTAATTGGGATTTCACCGACAACTTCCAAATACTACCAGACACAAAGAAGCACAGAACGATAGGTGTGCCATTGGTTGGAATGCATAATGCGTGTGGTCTGCCCGTAGTTGCTTCGTGGCCTAATCATGAGTTATTAGAGCCTTTGAGGATCAGAAGTAGAGTCATAGGGACTTTAAGGCCGATTTTCAAGGGTCCTCGAGCTTCCGATCGTCGCCATCGAACGCATCCGAAAAGAAGAGCTCCGCAACCGAATCAAACAATGTCCAGGAAGAATCGTACCGTAGATCTGAAGAATTCTGATAAGAAAGTTGACTATCCGTCGATAAAATCATTGGTCTCCTTGGACACCGGAAGTGGCGAGGTTAGGAAGAGAAGAAGAAGGCGTCCGTCGTTCAAGGCGAAGCACATCGGGACGTTTTCTTCGAGAAACTCTACGAGGCACACTTGTAAATCACATATAAAGAGAAGCAAGGAAAATTCTGTGAATGGTAGTACTCGTAGGAAGTCGTTCGAAACGGAAAGCACCAAGAGGCAGACTTTATACGCGAGGGATGATGGCGACGATGCTGTGCAAGTACTGAAGAACTTGTGTTTGAATCCTTTAGCTCGCACGAAGTCGGAAACTGATATGATCTGGTGACATTGATGAAATGAAAATTTATTCTTGATGGGTAAATAGTTGTAACGCAAAGTTTCTTGGCTTATTATTTGCAGAAGCAGTTGGGTGCATGTAACTATTTTCTAAATTTACAGACTAACTGTTACGTAACGGAATCAGTCTTTATTTTTTGGTTTTATAATATAGAATCTATTAATGAATTTTGAACAATTCTCAATCACCCTCCAAAACGACGATCAAATTTACCTTTGAAAGCTTCGTTTTTGTATGTACATCATATGCTGTTTGAATAATTGATACCATTGCAAACATTCAAATAAATAATCATTTATGTTATATGTATCAATAACATTCTGTTTACCATTCGCGTATTATTTAAGGAGTACATTATAATATTTTTCTTATATGATATGCATGTATGTTTATTGAATGCTTTGTAAATACGCTTAAACGGTATATAGATGTATTGTATTCTTGAGCGTTATAATGGAAGAAACCCTTGCTACCCTCGTTAAGTTTCCAAATACTTGGAATAAAACATATATTTTAATTTGTTAAATCAACGTGTCTGAAATTACATGTTTTAAGCTTGTAATGATACTATGTTTTGGTAACTATAAAATTTCAATTTATTAATACAATACCTGTGTTCTAAATATTTTGATTGTAATCGAAATTGAATATTATGATACGTTTTTTGTTAATTTTTCCTGAATGGACATTGTGTATTAACAATTGTCAATGGTATACAAACGTGCGGTGTATGCATATAGTGTATATGGTGAGATATACAGTGAGCACGTGGAGTCATAGAATCCCCGGTGTAAGCGCCAGAGACGCCGTAAGGTGAGAACCTGGGGTCACAGAACTCCAACAGGTGACGCCAGGGACATCGCGTGGAAAACCGTGGGGTCATAGAACCCCCGCATGAGACGTCAGAGACCCGTGAGGTGAGACCGTGGGGTCACAGAACCCCCACAGGTGGCGCCAGGGGCTCGTGTGGAAGATCGTGGGGTTGTAGAACCCCAGCAGGAGTGGCGCTAAATTCTAATATTGACTATAGCCTTAACACACTAATGCTATTATACTTCCAGCAGCATTCATATTCCAATCAAAAAATTTACACAATAACGAAAAGGAATCTAAAGTAATTTTCAGTAGTTCGATACATCTTTATCTCGAATAATGTTCTAAAATATTCAAAGTACTAGACATTTTTACACTTTGAATCTCATATCGATTTCGAAAATAAACCTAGTTCGATGTAATATAGAACGTGGTTTTATGAGATAGATTCGAAGTTCGCAGCCTTTAGCTCGATATTGTCTTCAATTTATAGTACTTTACCGATGATAATATCGATTGCCCAGGCCTCACCACGAGGAGGTTGCTCCGAGTGGAGGCCCAAGGCAGGTAGATGGAATCACAAGTTCCCACCTTTCACAATAAACCTTATAAATAACTTAAATCTTAACTATCGTCCCCACGAGGACCATTTTTGCTTGGGAGTTTTACCGTAGATGACGCCACAGATGTTCCTGGTCGCATTACGTTCTGAAAATAAATATAATATATTAATTAAAAGCGACACAAGATACAGATGATCGTGCACGAAATCGGTATAGGGAAATACAACAAAGTACTTTGAAATTAAAATAACTTTAAACGAGACATTAATTACAATAAATTATAAATTGATTTTGTATTTCAAGATTTGTTCTGCAAGATTCTATGTTTGCAATATCATTTAATTAATACCCAAGCTTTCCATTTTTATTGTAAATTTAATCTTGTACCTTTCTTTTGCTGGGACAAGTTCAAGATTCGAAAATTTTGTCCCCGGCAGAGTGGTTGTCGAGGGCAGTCGATACATTCTTATTTCTACACAAAGCCTTTCAATTTCCTTACTGAGCCTTTGATATTTTGCAGAACGAGGGTTCTTTGCCTTGCCCTTCACGCTTCCCGCTTCGCCGCGATTTCGCCTCGTACCTACTTCGCATCTCGTGTTTTTTTCCTCCAGCCAACGTGAAAATTATGGAAATCAACGAAACTCTCTCGAAAATTCTAAGAACGTCCAATTACGATTCTTTCTCTTTCACTCAATAAAATAACAATACTATTCCACATATTTCAAGGACCTGCCTTTCTTGCTCCACGTCCACCATTGTTCCACTTTCTTTTTCTAGCACATATCGTATTGTATTTTATACTGTAATTTTATTGTTATCTTTCATATTCACAGAAAAATGATGGCCAACTCGAACAGTCGTTGGAATTTGACTCCTTTCCAGGTCATAGGAATCGCAATTTAAGAATCTCCTGACTATACTACAAATCACTACATTTTACACAATATAGTTCTCAATATTTCCTTTTTCATTCTCAAACTTCACAGACTTTTGCATAATATTTCCGACATATTTCCTGTCATCGCGACTACAATAGGTACCACTGTAACTTTTACTATCATTTCCTAGAAATCACCACACAACCGCATCTAAATCGCTTCGGGAGGTCCATACAAATTCAAAGGTCATCCGTACACGCTCCAGAAATGATTTCCACCCGATCATCCATCTTCATTCACAGCGTCGGCAGTCGATAATCGTCAGACGTTTCACGAACAGAATGCCCGTGTAAAATGGAAATCTGGAACGGAACCGCGAGAGAATCCGTGGACTTTTCAGGTAAGTCTCGTACGGTGAATGAATTATCGCGGAACTTCGAAGAATGCACGACATTCATCACGATAACGATCCTCGAACGAAAGGATTCTCTCGGACGTGAAATCGCGAGAACGTAAGAATCGTTTTTGGCGAACAAGACGTTTCGGTGGACCAATGAACGCGCTGGTCGAAGCGTGGCGAGGGCGACGATTTCGTTTAGTCGCGGCTACTTTGCAATGATATATCCGCCGCCTCGTGAAGAGCTGGACCGGCCAACGGAAAGCTTTGTGACGGGGAAAGAGCCATGACGAGCGAGGTAGCATCGCGTTAGCCACGCGTTAAAGAATTCGTTCCGTGAAGAACGACGCGCATCGAAGCTTTCATAAGACGCAACCCTTTTTCATTCGTACCGCTGCAGTAGATGAAGATAACTGGTCGGGTGGTGCAGTTGGTCCGTGACCAGGGTAATTGAAACGTTCTTTGTGGAACGACTCGATCGATCTGGATATGGAATCTTGGAATTGTGGACAGGTAATTCAGTAGCCTGATTCAAATGTACGGAGACTATTCGATGTTTGAAACACAGCAAAATGGAGGATTATTTAATTCAAATTAAAATTTTCATTTAAACATTCAATATATGGTTTATTAAAAAATTCCAATGAAACTTCAATGTCACTTTGGTTTGGCACCTTAACCCATTAACAGTTTATCCCGAGTGAGACTCAGGCAAAGGGCACTTATCATACACGACATAATTATTAAAAAGATACGTGTAAA